TGTGGTCAAGGGGGGAGGAGCAAGCCAATGTCAACAGAAGCAGTAGCACAGCAATTTCTTACTCAGCTGCAATCAGCCCAAGCGCAATCAGTGGGCTCTTACTGTCTGCATCATCAGGGATTAGCACAGATAAAAGGTAATCTAGCAGGCAATTTGTCTGCTGCTTGTGGATATAATTTATTGTCCTTCAAGGAACAGTCCTGATGTAGGCTTTTGTTTAACAGCACAAGCATTTTCCCAGCAGCTATATACTATCCTATGGGAGGACATCAACCACAACCAAAACCACGGGTTTCAAACAGAACAGAACAGTTTACAGACACATTCACACACTACACTGTGCGCTAATCAGAATCTCTTCTGCATCCATTTCCAGTTGTTCTGAAGACCTAATTCTAACTAGAATGATTTTAATGGAACTTAATGATGCTGGCAGAGAGTTAGGGGAGAAAGCTGTACTGATGAAGATGGAGTGCATTTCAAGTATTTAAATAGATTGCCGTTCAATATGCAATAAATAAATGGCTCAAGGAAAAGAAAATAAGTTACTGCATAATAAAATATCGTGTTAAATTGTTTTCTTGAAAGGTGTCTGAAGGCAGGAAAACAGAAGTTTGACCTTGTACTCTGTTTCAATCAAACTGATCCCCACCGGCACACATATTCACAAGGAAGAAATAACAGTTTTAGCTGGAGCAAAGCACCCCCCCACCTATTCAGCTTTCAAAAATGTGACGTTGTTGTCTATGGTATTTTTAATTGGTGGGTGTGCTTAACACTTGCATTACTTAGCAAATTAATTTGCACAATATTGTATTAATAGTGGCTTTGCTCGGACTCAGTTCTGGTTAAAGCCACAAAGACTCAGTCACATAGGGAGACCGTAGCCGAGGTGCAGGACAGAGCAAGAGCGGTGCACCATGTCTGAAAATAAACTGGTTGTGTCTTCATTCATCGTAAAGCTGTGTAATTCCAATATCACATATTAGACAGAAATATATTAGCTCAAATTTATGTTGTAATAGAAACTTATAATAACAGACTTGATGCTAGTATAGTGCTGCTTCTCTGCAGATTTTCTAGAGCACATTCACTAAAATGCCTATAGGCAGTAACACACGTGAAGTATTTTAGGAGACAGCTAGCATTTTACCATGTGCAACTCACATCAATAAAAAGCAAAAATACACCGGAAGAAGTGAAGAAATAAAACCTACATTGTATAGCTAAAGCTTTTTGGGCTTTGAATTTGGCACAGCCAGAGAACCACTTGAACGGGCTAAGATAAGACAACTGAGACAATCTACTGGTTTGCTACCGTGGGAAGAAATAATCCCAAGACGTCCCTCAGGGGTACACCAGGGCCTACCTGGCTGTACAGTGAGCAGATTCAACCCATCAGCCTGGGAGAAAAACCAGACCTTTTTTATTTTTCTGAACAAGATTTTTGCAAGATTTGTGGGTTAAATCAGCCCATCTTGAGGTCAAATAGCAAAGACTGTAAGCAAGGACGCAGGAACAAAAAGAGCAGTGAAAGGGAAGCTGGATCATCTTGTTTGGGCAGCAGTAGTTCCTCAGGATCCTCAAAATCAGGTCCACTAAGATCCTCCCAATGCAGCATCATGACTGGAGTGCACAATGTCCCCCTTTCCTGGGGGAAGAGGAGAGAAGTCAAACCACCTGCTTCCAGTACCATTTTTTATACGTTACTTTTATTTTGGGCAGCAGTAGTTCCTCAGGATCCTCAAAATCAGGTCCACTAAGATCCTCCCAATGCAGCATCATGGCTGGAGTGCACAATGTCCCCCTTTCCTGGGGAAGAGAAGTCAAACTACCTGCTTCCAGTACCTTTTTTTATACGCTACTTTTATGATATAAATACCACTTTCCTCCACGGGAAAAAAAAAAGCAAACGTGTATAGCATAATGCTGTTATTTTATGTTCTGAAACAGAAATAGTAGCATAGAAAAACATTTTACAGTGTGGATACACACTCCATTGGTGTCAAATAGTTAACTAAAAAGGACATAATCTTCAGGAAAAATGAATTTGATATTTTCTCGTATCAACATATTATTTGTACTTTCAGAAGGGGAGCATCAAGGATAAACAGTTAAGGATTGCACTGTCAGCTGTGGAGTTTGGAGACCACAGTAGCACCACATTAGATCTGAATCAGCTTCAGGAGCCCGCACCTATTGTGATATTCATGCAGCTTTATTAGACTATAATCCTCTGTAGGAGTTTAGGAATGGTCATAATCAATCCATCCAATGAGCTCCACCATTGACCAGTGGTATCTTTACTTAGAAAATAAAAAGTAAGCGTGAAGGCAATCCTTCAGCACGTTATGTATTCCTCCAATTTCTAGTAACCTTCTTTTCATATTATGTTTGCCTTATCAAGACAAAGACACCTTAAATAACATTAAAAGTCCTAAGACCTTTTGATAACCATGGAATAAAATTAAAGCAATTCTGTCCCTTAAAGACAGATTCTTCTTAAACACTTGTCTTCGGCTACCCAGCACTTGTCTTTTATGCTACTAGTTTGCTAGGATGCAGTGTATCTTCTGCTCTAACCTTTGTTATTTTTTGCCTTGCCTCACGAAACACCACAGAATTAAAGTGAGCACATGTTTATAAAGGTATGTCAAGTTGCTATACTAAAATTTTCAGAAGATTTTCACTTTAACACAATCAAGTCTTTGTGACCTTTCTGATCACTCTTGAAGTGTTTGCCACAGAGCGTGGTAAAGCGCTATATCCCTTTTGTCCTTACAGTCCTAAACAACCGTCAACACAGGCAAACCTTCT